AGACTCTGAACCATCTCCATCCAATAATTTTCAAACCAACTCCTCACCTTTTTCAACACCCCCTTTTCAACCAATCCCACCAAATAACCCACACCCATCCATTTCTACACCCTCTTACGCTTCACAAGTCACCCCAACCTACTCTTCATTTCATTCAGACCGATCATCCAATTCTCCAGATATTCCCCAAATCTCCCAAGAACTAGATAATTTTATCACCCTACAACAACAACCATTACACCTTGACACCCCCACTATAAATCAGATTTCTTCCACAAAAGAATCCTCAAACCCACCTACCCTTACACCCTCTTCAGCTTATACCGCATCATTAGCACAATCATCCACATCCACCGAATCATCAAATAGCACTAATAGAGCTTATCGCACTTTCAAAAGAAAATTCCCAAACCATCCATTCCCAACAAAACCAGGAACAGCCCGTGAATATATTAATCATCCAAATCACACTAACACCAAAGATTTTCTAGCAATCACTTTACCTTCATTTCCACAATATACTCTAAACACCACTCCTCATGACACTAACGACACACGTAGTTTTGTAGATGAATATGTTTTAATGCCTACACTTCATTGGACATCATATTATCATTTTACTAATCTCCTTTGCCTACCATTATCTAATACTCATATTGATATAGAAAGAAATCAAGATATGCTATATCGACTCACCACACCACTAACACATAGACAATTTACTTATATAGGATATAAAAAGTCACTAAAAACATTCACTGCACCCCGAGCTAACGAATTTACACTAGAATATTACGATCATAACATCATCCGAACTAACCAAGACCAATTTTTAGATGATGATCGCTTCGCTAATCCACAAATCACAGAAAAATTCTTCATCAAAACACCATATGTATTTACACTCAATATATTTGATCGCAAATTTGACCACGTCATTTCTGAAGCACTAACCGACATGCAAGCTTATGAAAGTTTTAAAGAAAAATTTCAATTATTTTCACTAACCTTCAACTTCCTTACACCACATGAACGCGATTTGCACTGCTCACACAACATTATGTTACGCACTAAACAAACCCACACATATACATATTATCGTTTCATACAAAATCATTTTGATCTACACACTCCATCAAGACAACCACACCACCGTTTTCAGTTTATTAACTCTAAATACACCTCACCATTTTTTCTTAACTTCACATATTGCATCAAAGATACTAACCTTCACGGTATCCTCCGCAATTATGATCCCATAACTCAAATGTATATATTTTGTCCCATCACGAAGACCCTTAACGCAGAAGAATCCAGACCCTTCCTTATCCCACATGAATTTATCCAACCTATAGAAATCCCAATATTAGAATTCATCCACAACACTAAATACAATCACAAATTATATAACCTCATTCAAAACACACCTTATGAGTTTGCAGTTGGCACTGAAGAACTAAAAACTATTAAAGCACTTCAATTGCTTTGGCCACTGCTTCAAACTAAAAACATCATTCGCATACTAGCAAAATTACTAACAAATTCCGACATAATACACGACATCTTCCCCCACGGTTTTTCCCCGACGACTAAACAGGTAAGTATAATTTATACATATTCTTCACTAATAAATTTAAATTAATACTAACCATTCCTTATTCATGTCTCATTTAGATTTTTAGTCTTCATCCCACGATCATCTGCAAAAATCAGAAAAGAAAAATAAAAAATAAAAGACTTGTTAAAACTCTTCTAAACTCTATTAATATTTTGCACTAGATAAATATAATAAAATTCATACCAATGTAGTAAATTCATTTATAAATTGTTTCCCCAAAAGCAGTAAATTTAGTAATGATGAAAATTTATAACTTAATTTTTCCCCAAAACAAGCAGTAAAATTAAAATTCTATGTAGTAAATTGATAAGACGAAAATACAGTACTAACCTTTTGATATTTTCATTCACTCGCACAAGAATTCTATCCAAACTCGCACAGCTCGCCCACGAAGAATTGTTTAAATAATGAATTTCAGTTTCAAGTTTTCACACTCAACAACTCTAACACACGATAACAAGTTTCAATCTTTCCTTTAACCCGGTTGGAAAGGAATTATATACTAAACAAAACTAACCAACGCAGCTTACTAAACACCACAAATCATAGAATAACAGCATGACTAAGAAAAGAAAACCAACGGTACCAAAACCGGATTAACCCAGTTTAAAACTGGATAATTTATTCTTTTGAAGACTATTATAAAGTCTAAGAAAGAAATAATAAAACACAAAAAAGTCGAAAGACAAACCCATACCAAAAACAATTTGATTTTTGAAAAAAAGGACACAACCAACGAAACATAGGAAAAACCACCACAAACCCGACATAAAACGTTATCACATAACAGGACCTCTCAACCCACCAGAGAGGACGTCCTGAGCATGCTCTATAGCCGGCCTAACCCACCGCGCTACATCCACGCTTTGTGACCACACTTCTATTTTTAATAAGAGGTACTCAAGGGTGAGTAACTCTTCAAAATAACCGAACTAAAACAAAATGCTTTTGTGAAAACAACTAACCAAAATCATAACTAAAACATTGAACTAATAAAAATTTTATAAAGTGTAAATTATACCTTGCAGTATATAGATCAGCATACAACAACAAATACGAGCATCCAAAGACAAAATGATCCCACTACACTCGAAAAAGAATGGCCAACCACAACCAATATGCCGTCCACAATCACAACAAAGGATTTAGAGTACGACTTGACTTCGCAGAAAAAGACTTCATTGAACTAGACCAATGACCACCTCGATGTTCAAGTACACGTACAGATCCGAGTAACAAGGCATCCCCTCCACGCACAATCTCCACGCCATTCCCAGACGAGGTCGAACACAAAAAGAAGTTCTCTACATAAAATAGAAAAACCTGTCATAGCAAACCATTCTGAAATCAGATTGAATTCGTTGGGAAACACATTCGTTGTCACAAGAAGACACAACGATTGATATCCATTATTCCAGCGTCCTGGAACTTCTCTAACAAGAGAAACCGGATAAGAATATGATGTTCGCCAAATACCAACGTCCATCATCCATCCTTTGAATTGCAGAAAGACAATTCTAAAAAACTCTGTAAAACCCGGATGGGTGGAACCTGATCTTAACTACATTTTATGATTGGATAAATTAGATATTTTACCACTGTAAAGTATTTAATATTAACCAATCATGATCCATCTAACTAACAACCCACTTATTTGTAAGTGCTGAAATTACTTGTAATTTCAGCACCAGAGAGATTTGAATTTAACTTAGAAATTAGTTGCCTCTCCAAGAGAACTTCAGCAGCCGCAATAAACCAGTATACCCTAGATCTATTGAGCCTAGCAGAGACTAGTTAAACAACCTGAGACTAGATAGTATAAGAGTAAGAGTAGGATCGGTATTAGACTAAGAAGTTGCACGAATCTATCCGGCCGAAAATAAGATAGCGTGACGAGCAGACGGTGTACCCTATCCGAAATTACTCTATGAGTTAACCACTTCGGTCCTAACTCACTTCATAAAATTTTACATAATCCGATCTTTGACTGCAGCATACCGATTTTTAAAAAAATTATTGTGATTATCAACTTAAGCCAGGCAAAAGAAACATTTGTGAAAAACTGGATGCAAAAATCGATTTCAAACGAAATGGTTATGAGAATGTAAAAATTTATCAAAAATTTCTTAACGCTCAATTACCTGCACTATTAAATGAATAGATTCAAAAAGATCTACGGGAAAGTCAAGAACGGACTTCAATACTAGAAACGCTAGAAAATGTACATGAATATTTGAATGCACACCAATTTGTTCTTAATGTTGCTAAAACAGAACTTATTGTCTTTGGGGAGTAAATTCTTTAAAAGGAAGAACCTATTTCCGCTGAGGAGCATGACAGGTACATTGGAGTGTAAGCGGACAAAAATCTTACTTTTTCAACTGAACTGTACAAATGTTTGAGCAATGGCTGTTGCAATTAAGTCAAAATACTGCGTGCGACATACGGTACCATGAGAAAAAATAAATATGGTTTTCAGATCATTTGTTTTGTCACGTTTATCTTTTGTTTCAGCATTTTTTTCAAAATCTACCAATGTCTCCAATTAACAGACTTAACAGACAAATTAACTGGAAAATCAACATTTTCACTAAGGAACAATTTGGACGTAAAGCTGAGAAAAGTTATTGATGAATGCATTTATTCTTCTCGAGATTATTTTTATATCTAATATTAGCAATGTTTTATTCATTGATATACAAGTTCTAATTGTATATTTACATGCCAGTGTAGTTGTTGAGCTTCAACTTATTATAATAATTTCCTTTAATAGCAGCATGCATGTATAACCAAATTGTTATTTTGAAATTACATGTTTGTGAAAAAAATCTAGTGAATCTGTTAGACAAATTCTTTACCTTAAAAAGTCTAAGCTCCGCTTTGATAACGCTTGATAAGTTCTCAACAGCGCCAAAAATTAGAAGTTTTATTTTCTGATCAAACCAACACTTGATATTTCCATTGAATTCGTTAAGAGAGATTACTTTGAAAAACAAAAACTGAAAAAATGTAACTTACATCGACCGATACGTTGAAAAAAAACTGATCAATTGGCCACCCTTGCTAATAATCTTCTATTAGTGTGTGTTGTAACGTAGCCATTTTAACTATGCTATAGAGGCAAGAAACTATGCTGCTTCTAAAACTGTCTTACTCAGTCATAAGTAAATGATTGTCATCTAATAACTTACACAGAAACATAAACAGTGAGAGCAGTTTGAACTTAATCAGCTTTTATGACGAGATAGTAGGGGGTGGATGGAGTGTGTTTGCTGCAGGGCAATTTAGTCGCAATTGTCGATCATCCAGAAAGTAAGTTGCACCACAAATGTTGTTAGAATGGCGATTAAGACTAATAACTAGCATGAGTAATGTTACTAACTTCGTCCCTCTTTCCAGGCCCACAGGCGACTACAGTGGCCTCCAGCACTTTGCCCACACTCTTCTCTGGCAACATGATGCCCCCCTTACTCCTCGTCTCCTTGGCCACCCTCTCCACCAGCACCCGGTCGAACAGGGGTCTCAACTTCCTCACAACACCACCGCCACTGGACTAGGAGACAACACAACAATACACATTTCACAATTATTACAAAAGGGATGCAGCATAACTGATTTGAAACTCAGTAACAATGAGAGATCACTGTAACTAAGGGAGGGATCCAATTAGGGTTAAGCAGCGTGTGCATGCAAGAAAAAAAACACATCACAACGTTAAAAAAAATCCCAAAGGCTTACTTTTAGTGTTTTGCGAGCAGCCGAAACTTAATTTGATCGACCATAAAAAATAGGAGATCAAATCTTAAATCTGCTCCTGTCTCTAATCCCATCGAAAATTGAAAATTTAACCCACTCAGCAAATTAATATGAGCAACAACTAACTATCTTTACAAAACAGAATGAGCTTAAGAGCGTAGCTGCTGAATAGCACTCATTGTTGCCAACTACAATGAGACATCTAGTCAGAGTCGTAAAGTGTTGACTTCGCTAATCAGCGACTGGAGGTTAATTAGAATATGTTTCTATTCCAAGAAGCAACCAGTAACAAGAAACAACTCCCGATCACAAAACACATTAAGAAAAAGTTTTAAATAGATGTCTCTTTTCTCCCAAACTCTTTTCTCAGTTTCCTATTTTGTAGTTCTGGCCACTCTCCTGCAGTTGAAATGATCAATGGTGTAGAGTACGTATTTTTGCCCACTTCTGCTACCCCACGAAAAACTCACAGGGCTCAAGTGTGGTATCAAGTTGCAGCCCTACTTACTGATCGTGATTCGGATGCCACAAAAACTGATATGAATTTTGTTAGGCTATTCAGACCTGTAATTTAGAAGGGCATTGCTGTGAGAATTAAATTGGTTTGAAGACTCATTTTGATTTCAGACCCATTTTGCTTTCATTGGTCTGATTAAACTCAGTAAACTAGTGGCTAGAGTTGTTCGCTTGTCGCCTGTGCCCTTTCAATCTCTGTGCTATTTGCAACAAGCAACTGGTTGCATCCTTGTTACATGGTCAGTGTTGCAGGCTGCCCACTATCCACTATTCTCTCAAAAACATATAGACCTCACGTGACTATGATCTGTTTTTTTAGTCGACCAAATAAATTTTTCAAGCTCTGCCAAAGCACTAAAAAGTCCCTGTTTTGGTCAAAATTTCTATAATTTTGAATTAAAAAATTGCGTTTTAGGTGTGATGTGACTTGCGTGATGACAAAATATGCAGCACTTGTAGTGCATTACATCTACTCACCATTGTGTGAAGGATAGATGGATTAACGGATGAATGCAGAGTAGTGTGTTGAGACACTTGGAACAGAATGAGATGCTCAGTTGCAGCTGATCTGTTCAGAAGAGAGAGAACAGAAGACGCACAAAAACAAATCTGAAACGACCACAGCTCACGTCAACAATATCAGCACACCATTAAATGCATCTGGCCACACAAGTGACACTTTCCCACTTCTATGTGTGCTGCAGTAATCGGCGGTGTGAAACCACATACGTATTACATATACGTTACAGATATACCTTTGAAGCTATCCATTTGAGATTTGGATGAACGTGGGTGTGCTAGTTCAAAGGTGTAGTTAAGTAGTCAGCGCATGAGATACGTAGAATAATTTAAGGCATTCATAAAAGTAACTAATGAGAGGATGTTTGATTTCAATTAGCTATCTTTACATGCATTGATTGTATTGATGTTCAGCACCTTGTCGACATAGTTGACACAGTAGCAAAGCTGAACTTCGAACCACTTGCAATACAACTAGACCAATCAAAATGAATGAAGATAGTTGTCAAGAAAAAACTATAGGACATAACAACGAAATATGCCCAAACAATAGAATGCAAAATCAGCATCCGAACAAAATTAACCGGACGGCGACAAAACCAAAAACATCTGAGCAGAAAATCTTCAAACCGAATTTTACGTCCACCTTCACCACTATTACGATGTCAAACTGTGCACTGGATAGGCTCACAATTTTGTGTCTATATGTTCCTGGATTCCATAGACAAACCTTTAAACATGTTCCAAAATGTAAGTGGATTACACAAACAAACTTCCGTGGATTCCGCAACAAGCGAATATAGCTAGTTGTTCTGGATTCCGCCACAAAAAGCGGATTCAGAAAAGTAAGTGAAATCTACAAATGTTAGTGGTATCCGCAAAAATTGTAAGCGGATTCCGCAAACCGTAAGCGGATTCAGAATTTTGTTTATTATTGAGCTTGCATATTTTAAAAGCTAGAGCTAGAATTCTGTAGCATTGCGGAAATTGAAGGCAAGGACTTAACCATTGTCAGCGGAATAAACGAACAAATCTCAAAGCATTTGTTAACTTAATCGGCGGATGTCACCTTTAAGTATTTTGGAAACACAACACCGAATAAAATCAATGTTTGGAGTCATTGGGCTGAGAGTGTATGGAAATACAACACACAGCATATCGCCGAATTAGGTCAGTATTTGAGATTGCATAAATCCCAAATATTGGCCAGTATTTGGGATTCCATCACTCCCAAATACTGATGATCTAGTAGATTCCAATTCTAGTGAATTGAGATCGAAGTTGACAGGTTTTGAGATCGAAGTTGGCTTGACAGCAATTGAGACCAAACGTTTGATATTTCAACTGGTAGTTGATCAATGTAGTAATTGAGATTGATTTTTCTAGTGACCATCTAGTAAAAAAAGATAAAATTTCAAACACTTTACTACACATATAGATATATGTAAACGGAATCCGCAAACAAAATGCGGTTTCCACTTACAATTTGCGGATTCAACTTACGGTTGCGGAATCCGCAACAGCTCAATTTAACTATACAAATATCTTATTTTTTGTTTGTGGATCCCACAAACTGTTCTCGATTCCGCCTATTTTAGAGCAATTTCGAGCGGTACATTGTTTTAGGTGTTTGTTTGTGGAATCCAAAACAGCGAAAAAGATCAAAGAAGAGTAGCAAAGTTGCGGATTCAGCAACAAATCTGATTTTGACCTGTTGCGGAATCCGCTTACAATGCACAGTTGGGTCTCGTAATGTCACACACACACACACGCACACATACACCCACACAAAACTTTTAGCGCATCAAACGACGCTATCATAATAATAATAATAATTGTAGTTCCTGCGAATCGCAGAGGAGCTATCAGTAGGCCTTAACAGTCCTGTCGAGGATAGTCCATTTGTATTATCTCCCCACATTCCAGACAGTGTTATTTTGCTGAGCGAAGAGGCTACCTATTCGTCTGGAAAAAAATAAGTTTCAACAAAGCGAGGGGTAAAAATTCAACCTAGTGTAGAAGTGCAGAGAGGAACCAAATTTGTGTTTCGTTGAAATCACCCAAAATTAGGTCACTAAGTCAATAAAAAAATAAAGTGGCCGAAAAAAATTGGACCGAATAAAGTTTATAAGCGAAACAAAAAATAACAGGAAATACGAAAAAAAGGTACAACCAAATTTCAATTTCCAGGAGTAAATCAATATACTGCAAGCAAAATCAATGAAAAAATGCATGCAGCAAAAAACACGAGTATAAGATGTGGCACCTAAGCCGACAAAATGTAAGAGGACATTTAATAGGCCAAAAATTTCTTGGTCAGTTTGGAAAAAAAAACACAGGTCTTGGTCAGATTCGAACTTAAGCCCTTTGAGTCCCCAGCGAACTCGTTACTTCCAGGCTAAAAGGGGCGTGCAAGCTAAGAAATTTGAGTTAATAACTAAACAAGGTTCCACTAAAGATGAGTCCAGAAGCAGGGAGGAGATTAGTCCAGTGAACAAAGTTATTTACGAAAAAAAGTGTTGCACCCGACTACAAAACCCTAGCTTATTGCAAATGTAATTAAAATAATGATATATTTCGAAAAGTAAGAACGACTTTTAGTAGCATTGCAATAGCAGCTGTAGCACCAATCACTTCGTATAACCATAACCATGTATCCTCATCATTTCCACTATTGCCTGCTCACATGTCACCATAACATATCCACATTTAGTTCTCCAGTTGCGATCAAGTGGATAACTATCAAGGATCTCAAATATGCAAGATCCACCAACAACTATGGGCTATCAAAGAAAAGAAACATTGAAAAAGTATAAACATTGACTGAATGTGTATGTGTGTACCCATAATTCATATGCTTCATTTTCCATTCAACTTTGTATATTTTTTAACTTTAATTTAGCTCTTGGACCCGGCGGTTGGCAAGAACAAACAAATCCAGCCCAAAAACTTTGGTAGTATTTGACTTGGAAATGTTTCATGGAAAAAATTAACAAAGAAATAGCAAAAGTTACACCTTTTTATTTAATGAACTTTGTCCTAAACCCCCCACACTACTTTGATCAGTGCACAGAACGTGAAAAAACATGAGGTTAACTAATAAATGGCACAAAATCAGGTGGAACGAGGGTGATATTTCGGACTCAAAGCTAAATTTAATTTAGCTAAATTTCGACCTTAAAAGACTTAAATTGTTAACTTGCTGATCCCAGAGGTCATTCAAATCATAGTTAGTGCTCTTATAAGATGTGGGTGGCCTATTTTTTTAGTGGCTTTATAATCAAAAGTTCCACTTATGCTCGAACTTTTTCGTTTTTTTTTGAGAAGCTGACAATGGATACAGTTGACCTTTAAGGAATAACAAATTTTGTTTTTGACAATCAAAACCAGGGAAAAACCTTGGATTCTCTGTGATAACAATGTTCTTAGGTCACACGTTGTCTTCTTTTGAAAATTGCTTTTTCTTATTTTATTGGATTTTTATAATAAGCTCTGTGAAATTGATGATGAGCTGTACAAAACAATCAACAATCTGGGTAGCTTCATTAACAAGGCTAAATTTTTAAATACTGCCTAAGTCCAAAAATGAAAAAAGAACTTGCCTAAATAATAGACTTCATGTGTTCTATGGGACCAAGTGGGTCCGGTTAAACCCAATTTTTGTACGACATACATAAACACAAAACTTTTGAACCAACGTTTGATCTGTTTTCTGTTTTTACTAGCATTATCAACTATTCTATGACAAAATCCTAACAATTCTTCCCACCATCAACTTTAGAGAGGGGAGTGAACTTTAATTTGATTAACCTAATGGGCAAAGAAAACATTTCAAAAAAGAGGGGAAAAAAGCTTCCAACTTGACTTTTTTCCAGGACAATTTAAACTAATGAGCTCACAAAACTAGCTAGTGCTAGACGAAATAAAAATTTAAATGTGATTCATATCAAACACAACTTGTTTTACAAAGCCTTAAGAGCAGAGAAGCTGAGTTGCAAAAGACACAAAGCTTCAAGCAAGTCTCCAAGAGTTAAACCAAAACTCTATATTTGGTGAACAGCTGGGTTTGTCAAAATTTATGCCTGAATACTTCGGGGAAGCTACAGCAGAACAATTTGGTCATTCTATGGTTGATCTTTCAATGCAAACACTTCCCAAGTCTCCAGCAAAAACAACTAGTATTAAGGATGAGTTCACAACAGGTCTATATGCTGAGAAAAATTATCAAGAAAAAAAAAGAAAAAAAGTCGAAGATTGTTAAGGTTCAATTCAGTTTTTTCCTCAAAGAACTACTTAAAATCCGCCGTCAGAAAATGTGTCGGGATAGAGCAGAAAACCAATCGAAATACAGAGCAGAAATTGAACGTATAATTTTCAAATCAAATTCTATAGCAGAAAGACGAGCAATTCTGATTTCAAAAAAATCAAAAGATCTTTTTGAAACTGTTTTTTTTTCGGCAGCATTGAGCTATCTCATCAGTATGTGGAGTCTCAAACATTTGTTCAAATTCCTTCACAATCTATCAGCAAACTGTTCATTCAAGAATACCTGCAACAGTCATGTAACCTTCTCAAATCAATCTTTTTAAATAAACACGATCTTTCAGAAAAAACCAAATTTTGTCAGTTTGAAACCAGCAAAAAAACAAGCTATCATTGATAGTGTCAGTCAGATACAAAAAAAATGAAAAAAAGCAAAACTTGATTCCACCCGAGCAAGTTTCTAACGTCAGTCATGTGTTGATTAAAAATTGAGTGAAGGCGGTTTATACTGAAATATTATTTGATATAGCCAAAACTGATGATTATTTATTTAGTTTTGATTTTGTGATCTCAAAACACTGGTATATCTGTCAGTTCATTCCATTATAGTCTTCAAGTTTCCAAAAAATAAATCACCTTCAGAATACCAATTGGCAATTTCGGAACATTTGATTACAAATCAAGAACTAAAACATTGCAAAAACAGAAAAACCCTTGTTGAGCCCGGTATATCAGAAACCAAAGAAATCGACCCAAAAATTAGACAAAAACTAGTAAAAAGGGGTGGTGGTGTTGACAGTTCTGAAGTCTGTGGAACAGTGATTGAAA